CCCAGCAGTTGCACGCTGGGGCCCAGGCATTGCCAAAGAGTCTGATATACCCGATTGGGCAGCCTTTGTGCAAAGTCGCACGAGCACACCGCCACCCCTTCCCTCCCCATTTGCTCTCTTGCAAGGTCAGGGACACAGCAGAACATGCTTCGTCCTTGCCTGTTCTTCTTATTTTATTTTCGTTTGCTCAACAGAGCCTGGCTCTCTCTCTCTCTCTCTCTGTCAGTATCTCTTAGTCGCTCGCTTCATTCACTTGGATTGTGACGGCTTTTGACCTTTAGAACGATTTGCGTCCGACATGTGGTATTTGCTGTGTGCTTGCATCCTCATGTCGCGCGTGTCCTCCGTGGAGGTCAAGGAACGCTGTATCAATGGGTTTTTCGCACGCTGCCCGTCTCCAACCACACTTCTCCAGGTCGACCCGGCCGAACTACAACCCATCTTGCATTCACTCGGTCCGTGCTGCGGATCGTTGCATTGCACCAAGTTTATTTCACATCGCTCAGACAAATTACCAAGATCTTACCTTGGGCAATGACCGCCGTGGTTCTTGCCACTCGATCCCCCTCGCAGGTTTGTTCCCGCAGCGCCTCGAGGCCATTGTGGATGTGACCAAAAAGTTCTTGACGCTCCCTGTTTTCAAAGTGGGTCTGGACAAAGAAGATAAGATCAAGGGCATTGGGGTCTTTGGCGTCGACAGCTTTCGTATCTTCTGCCTTGATGATCTAGAGGCCGCTCCAGCGGACCGAGCACTGCGATCCTTTGTCGCATGGCGTCATAGCTTGGCCAAGGTCACAGAAAGCGAGACCAGTGACACTGCCAAGCTCGCGCAATCAGCCCAAGTGAAGGCCGAGCCCCAGGAGGAGGACGCTGCGCAACCTGAGACGCCCGCAAACGACATCAAACCCGAGCCTGTGGAGGCAAATTGATGAACTCTGTGTGGCTTGCCAAGCCTTGTTACCACGTGCACGCCTCACATACAAGACGCCACGACGATGGGTGTAGAAACTCAAGTGCAATTGGTTGCATCGAGACATGTTCTTCATCGAATTTTACGCACAGTCACCCTGTCTGCAGTTTGCCTCACGCCCAAACTCGTGACATTGACTACGTTCATCAATCCGGAGCAAATGTAAGCTAAATCGCGCCCGCACACCGAGCAGATGTCCAGGACAAGAAAATCCAGCAATCAGAAGACGTCGACAAGTGGACTGAGTCTACGGGCCCGCACAGTCGTAACAGGACCCAGAGCTTAACCATTCATGTGTCCTGTAAACTGAAACTCTTGCGCTGGGCCATCTGTGCAGGTGGCCAGTGAAAGTTTGTTGTGGTTATGTGCCGTCAAGCACTGGCCCTTGCGTCGGATCTACTCCGAATTTACATGTAAGTAAGGGCAACAGCATGCGGTCCGCAGAAAATTGCTAGACGGCAGACACCGAGTTGCAGAGCGCATGAACAAATGAACAAGAACCGACCTTCTTATGCTCGGCATCCAGCTCCCAGCCGACGGCTCCAGTATGCCCACACGAACCCATGCCAATGCGTTCACCGTATACTGTCAAGCACGTATCCCAGACATAGCGAATCTCCTGCTTGGCTGTGAACCAAAAAGACTGCCCAAGAAAAAAAAACAACAACAACAACAACAACAAAAATAACCATCACCATCACCACCACCACCACCACCACCACCACCACCACCACCACCACCACCACCACCACCACCACCATCACCATCACCATAACCACAACAACAGCAAGTGAGAAAGCAGAGAAAGAAGCTGAAACAGATCAGATATTTCGCATCGGCGAGCAAACACGTGTCCACGTACCTGAGAAATGCTGAGAACCGATGCGGGGTGGCAAGGATAAACTAGCGAAGCAGCACCCTTATCAAGGCACACATTGAGGCTGTTCTTGACTTGGCCTCGAGCCAAGACAAAATCCTAGTGTTGGCGGTTGGCCATTGGAAAATAAAGACGCCAAACGTGAAGCGATGCATGGCATTGGCCATTGAAAAAAAAAAAAAAAAAAAAAGTCAATGGAAAAAGTAAAGTAACAATAGTCGGCAGGGCATGGACTTACCGCTGACGGGATCAACTTATTTGGCTGGATGTTTTCCAGGTACCAGCTAAAGGATTTGCACTGCAGCTTTTCCCGCAAAGCCAGGCGTTCGCCAACGTCCCCATGGTCGACCTTGCGCGCCGAGGGTCGGATTTGGTAGAAAATTTCTTTATAATCGTCCATCCAGGTCTCGGCAAGACGTATGGAGTTGCGCAAAAAGGTATCGTTAATCGTGCTGTTCGGAATGGTGTAAGGGTGCGAGTCCCGGAAGATGTGTCCCACGTGTGAGCACGGTAGAATATGCAGGCTGCCCCCTATCAGAAGCAGAGCCCAACCAAAAATGTGACATGTTGGAGAAACAAGGCGCTTGGTGAGAGGTAGCTAAAGGGCAAAACTCGCTCTGCCGTCCCTTTTCTCCAAGCACACGGCCCACTCGCCACCTCATTGATCAAGGCGTAGATGCAGCGCGGGTGACAGAAAAAGCAACTTTTGCAGAGTGAAAGGTGGGCATGTCTGGTCGGCCTGACATACCACATTGCCACACTCGAAAACTCATTTCTAGATTTTCACCGCCCCAACCATCCATGCCTTGATCATACGAGCCCACGTCGTAAAAATATTGGCGATTGATGCCAAAGAGGCCACCCGCCATGGTCGGCGATTTGACAGGATCTGTGACTTGCGCTACAGGTTCTGGATTGGCCTCCCAAGAAAAGTCCAGCGTCCAATGAAAAGTGCCGCGAGAACTAGCACCTCCAGCTCCATGGTAACTCATGTCGTTGTTGCTAAGCGTCAAAGCACGAGAGACAGATGAGTCAGGCTGTTCTGGAGGACGTGGCCAGCGGGAGAGGGCAAGAGAAGGCAAGACTAGTAGTAAACAGAAACAAACTTGATGGAATCGATGACAGGAGTTACCACACGAGAGGGATCACCGGCCATCCAAGCCAGCAGCGGTTGAATCCAGCCCACGTTGGCTTCGCAGTGACTGTCCAAAAAGATCATGTAATCCGCCGTTGCGTGCTTGGCGCCGAGAAGACGCGCTCGAATGAGGCCAAGACGCCGCGGCGAACGCACTAGCTTGACCTGGATGAATCCAACAGAAAAGGCGGGACGGGAAAGAAAGGAAAAAGATTTGCATGAGGGGCGCGCTCAAATAATCGTAGATCAAAGAAGCAGGCGGGGCCCGTGAGCTCACGCTCACACACCTTGGCAGGCAACCGCTGGAGCTCTTCCTCTAACGGTTGCTGTAGCCACGAAGCGTCGGAAGCATCATCAAGAAGAATAATTTCATGCAAAAGGTTCTCTGGAGTTCGGTCCAATACCGACCAGACGGTACGAAAAAGTGCCGACCAGGCCTACCGCGGCGGCACAAGTCATGAGGGAAGCCGAGAAGCCACGTCTTTCAAGTTTTTGCGATACAACAATCTTCTTCAGCGTTGCGCAAGGGTCTGGAGGGATCGGAGGCAACGAGCACGCCTTCTCTCTCAACCGCCAGCCAGGAAGCTCTGGGCTCACCTCATTCACAAAGCAAATGATAACGGTGGCAGCGGGCAAGTCAGGCGGATACGCTACATCTTTGCACTGCATGGGTCGGGCATCAGGCACGTCTCGGTGCAGGGAAAGTTGCGAGGATCGGTATTCATTAAAGGCAAAGCGAGCATGAGCCTCGGCAACACGCTGCTTCTCAGATTTGCCCTCGATGCCTGCCATGAGCTTTTCATCTCGAATGCTTTGGCTGCGCCGATCGCGGTCAATAGCCGTGTCTGGCTGGTCCCCTCCTTGCAGTACAATCTCTCCTCGGTCACGATCTTGACGCCGCTTCTCTTCCTTGGAAGCCTGTAGCTTGTTCTGCACGCGCTGGCGCTCGATCTGCTCATCCAAACGCTGAATCTCAGCTTCAACGGCAATGCGGTCTCCACGCAGCTTGGCCAGGCTGCGCCGGGCCTGAGTCAGTGAGTTTTGGGTATCTGCAATCTTGGCGCGGACTGATTCAACAGTTTGATCAACGGCACCCGGGGCCAGGTCAACCATGTTCGCGGCGTTGGGGGGCGGAGGAGCTTGCGCCTGGACCTCGTCTAGATCTGCATTGAAGCCCAATTCTCTTGCTGGTTGTTCCCCACGACGCTCCCGCTCCGACTGCAGGGCCACAGGGCCATCGTGCTGGTGACGTCGGTCGTGGTGACCCTCGTGCTCACTGGTGAGGTGTGAGACAAGCACAAAAGCGATGGTCACCACGCTCACCAAGACGAGAAGCGGACGCCATTTAACCTAGAACACGTGCACAGTCACATTTACGAGGCAAGGAGCGGCGTATCAGCTGAGCTGGGCAAGCCGGGTGCCTGACGGCCACGCGAAGCCAGGCTGCAACAGAGTTTCTGCCATGGCTGGTCAGCTAGAGTCTGACCTTGACGCTTTGCCCGGGGCGCTGAAGCATGTCCGCGGTTGCTGCTGAAGCGCTGTGACCACGTTAAAGCCCGCCCAGCAGGTGTTGTGCCCGCCGGGCGTGACGCACCCAGTTATGATGGAAGGAGCTCAAATCGGTTTGAGAGACTGTTGACTGCAAAGGCTGGGATTCAGGTCACACCAGACTATGAGCTGAGCTGTCAGGTCAGGGCAGGCCTCACTCCAGCTCTCTCCAACAGCTCGTCACTGGGCCAGCCCCCTTTTCGACCACCCTGCGACCCGTGCATTCCTTGACATGGTTGACATAATCAGCCCGCGTACCTGCCCAGTGTTCTCGGACCAATGGCTGCACGATGGATAGCGAAAGTGGCGAGAGCCGGATGCGCAAGACCACGACGGAAAAATGTGTCGCGTCATTCAACTGCAACTTCTCCTTCAACAGCTGCGCAAAGTAATGATGCTGCGGTTAACATTTCTTCAAGTTTGTTGTAATGCTCTTCATTATTGGTTCGGTCAGTGCAATCACGCATTATTTTCCGATCACGAAAACTGTTTTTGCTCAGAGACGGTGGACGAGGCTCAGAGACGGGGCGAGATATGGTCCGTCTGAGACTCTGCGACCAGCAACGACTGGGAAGAACCGTCAATTGACAGGGGGAGAGGGGAGAGGCGTTGACGCCAGTCTGCCCGTCTTCACATGTATATTTTTGTACAGATCTTGAAAGAAGCAACGAATCCAGAAACAGCGTGTTGAAGTATGCACGGAGCGAGAGGCGCACAAATTGGCTATAATCGCCAGTCTTTGAATCAAAGAAGAAGAAGAAAGGCGAGGCGAGGCGCCTTGTTTAGAAGTAAGCATTGTGCTTCTGCGCCACGAGCTTGAGCAGGCGATGGTGGGAGGCAAAAACCTTGATGCCCGAGTGCACCATCATCCACTGGCAGTTGCGGGCATCTGAGCCAGCCCGAAGCTGAATTTTGCTGGTGTAGCGGTTCTCGTCGTCGTGAAAGTTGACGCACACTGTCTCAATCCAGGCATTGTCCGTGTTGCGATTGTCGTGACTGTAAATCGTCGCCACCATTTGGCCTTGCGTCAGCAGCTAGGGTGATGACAAGAACAATGAGGAATGAGGTCTACGAAAGTCTTGCTCTCACGAATAAAAGCTATGCATTTTGAGGTGAATTCGACGCACCTCCTTGATGGGTTGCTGGTCCTGTGGCGACATCTCGTCAAAGCCATCCATGGTCTCTTCGATCAACTCGCGCGCGACAGCCGTGTCCATCTTTTCACCACGATCGCGGAAACCGCCTGGAATGGCCCAGCCTGTGCACATTAAAAAAAAAAAAAAGAAAAAAAAAGAAAAAGAAGGAGGGCGCGGGGGGTTAGAAGGATCAGCAAGATGTTAGCAAGTGGGAGAGGAGTGCATCGCGCCTGGCCACAAAGCACTGACCCCCGTTGTCGCTCCGCTCAATGGCAATAAACTCCAGGACCTTGCGGCCGTCGCGTTCCAGCAAGGTGCCGTTGGCGGCCCGACGCCAACGCGTCACTACGGGATCAGCTGCCCAGTTGACGCCCCACTTGCCCAGCAGACCGCGACCTGTCATGCCCGTACGGCCATGGGGATTGCGTGGACGACCAGTCTCGGTATCAACCCAAAATTTGGTTTGGTAGCACGAGCGTCGGTCCACGCCGTTTGCCACGGCGTTGAAGTTGATGGCGCGAGGATCCGCAGGGTCAGCCCACTCTGGGCCCTTGGCCACACTGGGGTGCGTGTACTCGATGGGGTTGTAGCCAGGCAGGCTCATGCTCCAGTCCACCTGCTCCGGGGCCACCGCAAATCGCTGCATCTTGCTGCCGGGATAGACAGGGTCCGGAAACCAACGGCTCGCTTCGTTCTTTTGCCGCGAGGCCACCAGGGCCATCGAGTTGCTGTCCAAGCGATGCATGCTGTCGGCCTCGGAAATGCTCTCCTGTTGGAGGGCACTCAAGACGGCAATGTCCGTGCGCAGTGTGTGGAAATTGCGATCGGCTGCCAACTGAGAGTGCGTCAGCTGCTCCTGAAGCATCTCATTGCGGTTGTGCAGATCACGGATCAGGGCCAGCTGCTTGCTGACGCGATTCTCAAGCGTTCCAGTTTTTTCCTTGTGCAATTCGTCCAGAAACCTGTGGGAACGGGCATGACAAGAGTGAAGGTGCGAAACGGATGGACAGCTTCAAGAGGATTAAAAACAAAGCGAACAAAGTACCACAAGAAGCACGCGATGCCCACGGGCCGAGCTTCAACAAAACACGACAGGAAACATATGACGCACTTGTCTGTGTTTGTTTCCTGGAAGATGCGCAGATCATCAAGGTCGGCCTCATGGGTATGGTCCTCCTGTTTGCCGCCGCACTTGCACAGTTGGAGGATGAACGTGATCAGCATGTACACATGCTGAATCAGGATCAGCGGCGCTGGCAAGAGCGGTCGCTCTTTGTACTCGAGATATAGATTGTAGTTTTGCTTATGCCACAGAGCGACCGCCTCGCTCTGCACACGAGCATAAGTGTCCGAAAACATAGCAACTGCAAAAGCAAGCCATCAATGCATTGGCAGAAACCCGTGAGTGGAGGGGGGAGGAGAAGGAGAGCGAACAGTGGCAGAAGCACCAAGAGCAAGGGGGAGAAAGTTCACGCACTCAGCAGGTTGACGAGGAGAATGTTGGTGACGAGAATGTACAGGGCCAAAAGAGGGAGCACCATCCAGGCCGACTGCAAAACCACATCAGGGTCAGTATATAGCTCAGGTCCCAAGCCATGTCACCTGTCATATCGACAAGGGACTTGATCGTGCCACCGATGGGCCCTACTGCATGCATTTACGTCTACGTCCCATGCGCTTACCGTGCCACCACATGAGCGGAACAGGCCATCGCCCACGCAGTTTGCTTCAACGCTGATATCCTCCAAAAATAGTTCGCCTGACAACCATGGCATGTGTTTACAGGATCATGCAAAGGCAGTAAAAACAAGCAATAAGAAAACTAGAGACGAAAGATAACCACAACCACGGCCGAGGCACCATGTCCAAGGCAACGGACAAGAATCAACTGACCGTAAATTTGAAAGTAAGGTCGGAATATGACGTTCTCGAATGTTTCATCGTCCAGCCGGCGATCTGGGTACAGCAACGCCTGGGACATGACGCCAAAACCAAAATAGAAGACGATGACAAGGAAGACAAATACCAACACATCGCGAACTATAACAGAGGAACGAGGAAAAAAAGGATAGAAGAGGTGAGAAAGATTGTCATGCTCTGATGACACCACCTCCTTGCAGGACCAAGCTTTCTCCTCCCTTCCCGCGTAGAGTGCTCTTAGACGTACTCATGCGACCCATCATGATAAGTTTGGGTCCAAGATTTGGTGAAACGGCGTAGTAGCGCATCAGACGTAGCCAAAGACATACAGCAACAAAACTGTATACGGTTTTGGCATGCACCTGCAAGACAGCGTGGAGAGCATGCAGGCTCGATGAGTATGACAAAGGTGATACGCATTTCGTTGAATCGGCCAGCAGAGCAAAGGACCGGAAGACAAGTCCAACTTGCCTTGGTCTGGACTGAGTCAAGGTGGTGTACGCGAAGAATAAAACCGATGACATAGAGCGTAAGCAGAAAAACATCGAGGCGATTCCACACGTCTTCCCAATATTCTTTGGCCTCCAGCAAAAAGTTTGATTGTCGCAGCTCTTCGACAATGAGCGACAGAAACCAAATGGCAACGATAATTTCGAACACGCTGAGCTCATCCTCAAAGCGGTCCATGGTCATGATGGAAAAAACACAGCACAGTGCCAAATGCATGACACAATCAATGACAAAGCTACGTCCATGGTGCACAAAAGAGTCAGCAATAGTCAGGCACCGAGTGGTCAATCATGAAGGGAAAAAAAAAAAAAAAAAAAAAAAAAAAAAAAAAAAAAAAAAAAAAAAAAGTGATGCGCAAAAACAGGCGGTTCTGTGTTCGCGCTGGCCACGAACCGGGGATATGGGGCGTTGTAAAAGCGAGAAATCTTGCTGATGGCACGACGCCACCATGGTACGTTAGCTCTGGCACCTGCGGGGCCGCCTTCCTCGACGCTCTTGATGTACAGCTGGATGTCAGTGCGCTGATGCAGACCAAACACGTGCAAGCAAAAGGTGGGTGAGTTGTGGGACGTGCCTCGAAACGCGCGAGGCCAAAATGACCTAACCTCTTGCTCCTGCACGGCAGCGTCATCATCGGCAAACTTGACAAAGGGAATCAAAAAGGGTAAAAAGATGGCCACAAGAGCAAAATACCAAGAGGAAATCTAAGAGTCGAGTCAAACATTGTGCGCAGAAATCCAGCGTAAATGAATGTGATTGCCAGAGAGGAAGACAAGTACATAAGGATAAAGTGAACGGTCGTTATCAACAGCGGGCGAGCCAGGCAAGAGACGTACGCCCTTGAGGGAGCCATACCAATCGCGGTTGACAACCGCCTGGACGGCCGGGTGAGAGAGGAAGCGCAAGCAGTTGGAATCGTAGGCGACCCGCACGGCATTTTTGCCTCGAAACATGGCGATGGGCTCGGAGAGCATCTGGGCCGTCTTGGTGGTATCGGTGCTATAGCACTCACTCAGAACGCCAACGGCCAGCTGCTCAAACTTTTCCGAGTTGTGAAGCATCTTGGCGCGTTCGTCGGCCATGTGGCTACCCGACAAGGCCTTGTGCTCGCCGAGCGTACGTAGGATCTTGGAGGCAATCAGCGCATTGGAAATGGACTGATCGGTGCGCTGCCAGAACATTTCGGCCATGCGATACTTGTTGACACAAATGGCATACATCAAGAACATGTGGCTGGCCACAACCTCTTGCTCGGCCTTGGACTTGGTATCCCAGGCCTGAAAATCTCGCTTGATACTATAGCGAGGAAAGTGCGATGCAAGGAGAATGAGAATGTGCTCTGTGGGAGCAAGCGGGTGCTGTCTGCAGCAAGACGTGTATGCATGACCGGTCATCAGACGCACTCGAAATTGCGGTCGACCAAGGCACCCAAAACCTTTTCCATGTTGAGGACGCGGTACTTGCGTTTCGTGTCCGAAAGGTTGACCTTTTTACGAAGCAGCTTGACAAGCACGCTTACGTGGCTGTCATCGCGACTGGCATGACTCTGTGATGACAAAAGAGCAATGAAACGACACGTACAACCACACCACTCACTCCATGCCAAGAGGGCAAACATACCCGATAGAGCTCTTCAACAGCGTGTGTACAAGGCACAGCATCAGCCGATTCCATTTCCGAGCTGGGCGTGCCACGCGAACCCTTGCCAAAATTGGCTGGGTTTTCAATAGACGATGCGCTTGGGTTGTTGACGTCGTTGGCGTGCTCAACCTTGACCGTCGCCAAGGAGGCACCGTGCTCCAGGTACAGACCAACAAAGTCGGGCTTGTTCTTCTTCATGGCCATGATAAAATTGTGGTTCAACATGGTGGACTAAGAACGAATTCAAGATCGACGAGTTGAGTACGAAATACGACCCTTGCGCGCGAAGAGAACGCCTGACTGAAACTTACATTCACTTTGGCACCACCCTGACGTAGCACGCGGCTAGCAATGTCCAGTCGATCAAAGTTCATGGCTGCAGGGCAATACGAGATTGTTACAAAAAAAAAAATGAAATAAAAAAATAAAATAAAAAGTAAAAATAAAGCCCCCACCGCCCCCCAAGGAAAAAAAAGAAAGAAAGAAAGAAAACAAGGAAAACAAGTTTCGGTGCTCGTCAGATGTGGCTCTTGACCGGGGAGCGGCGACGTTGCAGGTCGAATGAAACGGGACCAACCTTGCTCAAGCTTTTTGGTCAAATCGACGTCACGCGAGCCGTAAAAGATGGCATTCAAAATGGTCTCATCAATGGCATCGCTGTTCGAGTCCTGTGCATTGAAAACGTAGACCAGGTCGGGCTGTCGCACACATTCAAAGGCTTGGTGCATCAAGTCCACTTGCTTGTCGCCAGGCTAGAGACGGGCAGCGGTGGTCCGAGGGTCAAGGGAACAAAAGCATGGAAACAGGAGCGCGATTGCATCCATGGGATTGGTCCAGAAGAAAGGCATTCCGAAGAGTAGGACACAACATACCAGATGGGCAAACTGCGTAGCAATGATGGCTTTGAGCTCCTGCACAGTATGGCTGCGGTGGCGACTGTTGCCCGAGTGCAGGAATTGATAGGCGTATGCCAACACGTCGGCTGCCAGACCTGACCCGTCAACCACTACAATGGGGTTGCCGGCGCGCACACTCTCCATGGCCGTTTTCATGGTGCCAGGGCCACCTTGGATGACAATGGTGATGGTGGGCGCGTTGTACTCGACGCGAGCGGCCTGCTCAAATTGGGCGCGCACTTCAATTTCTCCACCAAAGTCGTCGATGCCCGAGTCCACAAAGACAAACATGTTGTGGTTGTGATCCGGGCACTTGAACATCTGGTCCTGGACCACATATGGCTTGGCGCGATACTGGGGCTATATATCCGAGCAAGCCAGCGTCGAACGGAGCACCAGATTGTCAGTGCGAATGGACGGCAACATGGAGCAAAAACGGCAAAATAGATGTGAACCAGGTGAAGAGCGTACCTGCTCCATTTCCTTGCGATCTTTCAGAATGCCCCAAGTGATGACACCAACCACCGGCACAAAACTACGGGGGCGCAATGTGTTCAGGACGGGCAACAAATAAACAAAAGTTTGGCAAGCGCAAGACACAGCTCACAAACAGGGTGCCCTGTCAGTGACCACAAAATCAATCACCGAGAACATGAAAACACACCGATCACGCAGGAGGTCCGACATGATGGATCCCGTCAGTTGCATGACACCTGTGCGTGGTTGGAGACATTGAACCAGGATGGGTGAGGAGGCGATTCCCAGACGTTGAAGGACTTGATTGCGAACAATCAACACGGCGGATTCAAAAGAGCCCGCATGTGAATCACCAACCAGAGTGAGTGCCACCCGTGACCACCCAAGCATCGGTAGAGGCGACAGCCTAAGAACGGACAGAGGGGTCCACACACCAAAAACCGGTAAAGCCTTATGAGAAATGAATGGCAGTTGAAGCTAGGACGACAGAGATTAGCAAGGCATGACTACATCTGTAAGGAAAGGCCTGGGTGACAGGCAGCGACTGCGCTGAGCTGACCTTGGTCAGACCCCGCTTGATGGCATCTCGCAAGCGCGGTGGCAGATCAAAGGATTGGGCCCCTCCGGTAACGGACAGAATCAAGCTCGGCCTGCGGCGAGGTGACAGTAGGGTCGAAGAGAGCCAGGTTGATGTGAGAATGAGTTTGTGATTAGGCGGCTGAAAAACAAAACCCAAAAAACCAAATCAAATCAAATAAAGTAAGCTGAACTCAACGCGATCAAAAGCTTTGAGGGCGTACGCGGGATAATTGCGGTTCCCAAAGTGACGGTACAGGTTGGCTTGTACGAATTTGAGCACGTCCTGGGCGTCATCTTTGAGGGAGACGCGCACATAAGGAGCCTAACATGCAAACAGGGGTTGGAATGAGCTGCTTTGACATCGGGGCAATTCTGCAGTCGGTATGAGCAGGAGCGCAGCAGCAACGACACGTACGAGTTCCTTGTTGCGGTTGTTGGCATCAAAGCTGAGCAGGCCATGCGTAGTGGAGCGTTCCATAATGCTCTGAGCACGTTGCTTGTCTTCGGCCGAAGCCTTGTTCGAGGAAACGGGCTCAGGGTGTTGATGAAAGCGCGAAAGCAGATCGCTGTAGTCCATGTCCCGCTTGGTCTCACCATAGCCCACCTACAATGCACGGCCGGCGTGGCGCGAGAGGCAAGGAAAGCAGAGACAGTTGTGTATTCAGGCCAAGACGGGAAGAGGAGAGGTGAGCCACAATCGGGCCCGCCAAGGAACGTTCAATGCTCGTTTGAAAAGCATCACTGACCCCGATCTCAAGGTGGCTATTGTAGGCGGTCATTTGGATCTCCTCGCGGCGCGACCGCATGGTAGAGCGGCGCTGGTCCATGATGGTGGTCTCGTGGAGAAGGCCCCCGGTGACAGGGCCTCGCCGAGCTACAACGACGACGATCAAACGATCAAACCACCGTGAGTACATGCAAAACAAAGGCAATCGACCAGATTCGACCAGATTCGATGAGCGAAACGCGATCTGCCAGCCATGCACAGCCCATGTTGCGCGACCATCGACTATAACGAAACCCCTTTTGGGTATCGGTCACAATGTTCCATCGCGAGCACGCCCCCCCTTACTGCATCCTCTCATTGGTTTGAAGCCACCAGACACACGCACACACACACATACACATACACCCGCACTCGCACTGGCACGCCCTTCTTCTTTCCTTCCGGTGCGCACGCCCTGTGTTTGACTTCGCACTGCCATTTGGCGTGGCCTCACACACACACATGAACTCACACACAAAAAGAACTGAAACACCAAAATTCAAATTCTGTACTGTTGTGTTGTGCTGTTGTGTTTGGTCACTGTCGTTGTCTCTCTCTCTCTGTCTCTCTCTCTGTCTCTGTCTCTGTCTCTGTCTCTGTCTGTCTCTGTCTCTCTCTGTCTCTCTCTCTAAATCTCTCTCTCTAAATCTCTCTCTCTAAATCTCTCTCTCTAAATCTCTCTCTCTAAATCTCGCTCTCTCTCTCCTTCTGTCTTGAGTTCGTTGGTTGCGTTGTTTTGACATGAGCTGGATGATTTGAGGAGCGCAAGGGGACATCATGATGATGATGATGAGCAGTATTTGCGAGCCCCCTCCCAAGACGAAGGGGAAGACCAACTTGACCCTTGCTTTCAACCCTCTCACCCCACCATCCCGATCTGATCGGCCTCACTGACGACGGTCATCCATCCCCGCCCCCATGCCTGCCGGCAATTAGGGGGCGGGTAGTGGATTCTCCTCGCTCGAGCCGTGCTGACAACCACAACCAACAACCAACAACAAGTGATTTATCATCGTCATCAACTTTGATGCCTAGTACACTATATAGCATAGAGTTTAAAAATATATCTTCAATAACCTCCTTATTGTGAACATTTACTCCGAGAAGCGAGTCACCTCGAAGAATAACAGTTGGTAGCACTGCTGGGCCAGGAGCGCGCGCTTGCGCAAGCGCGGTCGATGGCGGGCCAAGAAGATGACCCGAATGGCCTGAATGGCCCGAGCTGGGTGGATGTGGTGGGCCAACCCCAGCCTGATGTGCTGGAGCGGCTTCGAAGCTACTATCGTCGCATTCAAACGGCTGCCGGTACTTTTGTGACAGCCGTCGTACATGAAGCAGACGTCGGTGCGCCTGGCTTGGCAGGAGGGGCGCACCCGCGAGCAACGGCTGAAGCCACCGCCACGTCCAAGGCCCTGGCTGGCATTGGAGTAGCCCGCTCGTGTCTTGGCAAAAGCCGTCTTTCCCTCCAACAACATCGCAAGTTTAAACGACTACAGGCCCGCATTACCGCAGCTGATCCCTCCCTTCTTGCCACGTGCGTCACCTGGCCCTCCCCCCTTCACACACACACATACACACACACACACACATACACACACACACACACACACACACACACACACACACACACACACACACACACACACACACACACACACACACACACACACACACACACAAAAGTGCCCAAACGGCCATGTTCTGACCTGTGCCGGGCATCACAGGGAAAAGTTCGAGTATGAACAGCTGTTGGCCCTGGTTCGCGACGATCAGCGCTCTTTTCAAGCACACTTGCAGACGCTGTATCAAGTTAATCACCACGTACACCGACGCTCCCGCCAGCTCAATAGCCACTTATTACGCGCCGTTAAAACCATGGCCTGGCGCCACCAAGCTCAAGTCAACCGCGTACGTCCACGTCTCCCCCCCGCGCACAGCCCATGCGACCTGAGACCGTTCCTCTTCACCTCGCGCTCGCGCTCGCACTCACGATGGGTCGTTCAAATGAAAATGGCAGCTCTTTGGGAACTTGGATGGCAACGCCTCTTCCACACCCTGCTCAACACTAGCATTGCTGCATCGTGGACCCAAACCACGCACGACTAGCCTTGTTCGACGCCGTTGCAATCCTGATGATGTCCAGGCAAGTCGCGTCGATCAGCGGGCCTTTCCCATGCCAAACACCTTGAATAGTTGCCTTTTAGTCTAGCTGATATCCAGGTCATCCACGGTTGTGGGTTTCTTTGATGCTGCAATTGTTTGGACAACTTCTTTTCCCGTTCGAGAGCAGCTTCGATCCGTTTATGAGGACCTCGAGACTGTGCTTCGTACGCTTCAAGCGCAGCCCCCAGTGAAACCCAACACGGTGAGATTCGCCCCACAACCTCACATCGGGAGCAAGAGCGGGAGTGGCAGAGCCAACAAAAGAGCCTATCCATCCCTTCTCCTGCACTTTGCACACTGTTCCACTGGGTGCTGGCGCAAAATGTCAAACATATTTATTCGCCCTGGTAGGCCATCAGCAAATTACCCTACACGGATTTGGCACACACCGTGTGCCAAGATCGATTGCGCGAAAAAACACTGAACCAAGCAGCGCATCAAGAACCCAAACGCAGCAAAGGTTGGTGGCACACAACGACGCCATCACCTATCACAATCCTCTCGCCTTGCGGCTCGCCCACTCTGATGACGCGATGGCCCACTCTGTTCGACTCGACAGCTGACGTTGTGGCACACATCCAAGAACGTCGACGTCGTTTACTCGCGTGCATGCACCCCTGGCATCGCAACGAACAACCTGGAAACTGGCCAGAGTTAACTTCCCTTTCGGATGATCAGGTTTAAACGCCGTGGCTCGCTTCCTTCCAGCACTGCAAGGCCCTACCAGGCCTATCCTCACTCACACCTCATGCTGTTGGGCCCAGATTTGCCTGACGGAAAGTGCTTTTCGTCAAATGTTGCATCTTTTGGTGGGAACGCGTTCCTCTGGGTGCTTGGCTGTCAAAATAGCAGACCCCGACAGCGAGGACGGTCCCCACTGTTTGATCGCAGATATCACCAGTCCACACACGTTCAGCGTCGCCGAACTGACCGAGGTCTGTCTTGCTTCTATCGAAAGATGCTAAACTGGACAAGCCTCTGGATCCGACTATTTACCACATGAGGCTACGCAGCATCCGTTCAACAGCTGCTTATGGATGGGTAGGCGGTGGCATGGCCGCTGGCTTTATACAGTATGACACGCCGCCCACAACAAGGTGCGCTTCTTTCCTCTCCAATGGTACAATTCATCGCACTCGCCCCTTTCCCCAAGATGGCTGGTCTCTACCTTCACGTGTTTGCGCTGTAGAGTCTGCGTCGCACTCCCAGGTCGTGCACGATATCGAACTCCGATATTCCAGTGACGTGGCCGCGTCGCCCAAGCACTTTGTCGTCATTGGTACACCGGCGAGCTTGCCTGTTGCTTGCCAACAAGGTCTGTTGTCCAAAAACGATTTGAATTCGGAATCTATTGCGCCTCCTCTGGCACTCTTGTTATCTTGTGTTTCTTCTAGTTCTCTCTTTTCATCTGCCACTCAACCCGCGTGTCTGCCTCGTTGGCCGACATGCGTAATTTGCAGGCCGTGCTTGCCTACGACTCAAGACTGAAGCATTTCCAGAACTTGGGCTGCAGCTGCCCAATTTGCGACAACGGGTCGAACTTTTTGCAGATGCCTACTTGAATCCAGACGCCCAACAAGTCATGATTGGTACACTCACGCTTCGTGACTTGGGGTTCAAGCGCGCTTGAGCGGAAGCTTGCTTGAGCGATATTCGTGCTCATGGTACTCGCATGTCCTTGCGTGTTTCGATTGTATTTTAATTTTTATGAATTTTGGATGGGAAGGTCATCTGGATGCTCACGACGGCACGGTATTCAATTTGGGCGCCGTCCCCTCCAAGCGCCTCACTGCGGACCTTCCTTTGGGACCCATGATGTCTGTCAAGCGCTAGATCATTTGCACCAGTGAAAGATTTGGTGATCGCCTTTGCTGTTTGTTCAGGCAAACTCATCCGTGTCTTTCCCCTGTTGGTCCCCATGCCTTGGCTCACACGATGCAGGCCAGACCAAGTCGTCGGCGCCATATGGACATGTCTTGAACAGCTTGCTCAGCTTGCCCCCGGTTCTTATCGCGTCGAATGTCACCAAGCCACTCGTGAGATGCGTGTGTACAAAGGCAAGGCTCCTCCGGAGCCCTCGGCAACAATGGCCACCGACTTGAAAAAGGAAGTCGAGACAGCAGAGGACGAAGACGAGGCTTTGACTCCGCACACCACCGTGCATGAATTTGCACCGTCAGTCCCTTTTGCTCAACACCTCGAATCTTGTTTTCATGTCGTTCAGGCCGCACTGACTGGCCGACGGCCCTTGAACACTTCGCACGCTTGTTGTAGGGTACAAGAAGAGTTTCAGCATCTGGAAGTGCAGTTTGGTTGCTTGGCGGTGCGCACCTTGAGTACCTGATGGTCGATAGCTCATGAATTTTCAAGGCGTCAGCACCTCACATCCATTTGCCATCGTCACCGACAGGATCAAGTTCCTTTGACTTTTCCTCCGCGACAGGTACGGCCCCCTGCGGCCCCATTTGCCTACTGTAGAACGTTTTTCTTGCACGATGCGTGCACAAATGAGGTGCGTGGACGGGGCCAAGTCGTGGCGACGGCTTGACAGTCTGGCCTGTGCTTCACTGGCTCGATCCACTCGGACTCACGGTGCAGTCGATTCGTGCAATGTTGCAGGCGTGCGCTGAGCCGCACTTGACGCCAGACCAGGTGTTTCAGTCTTTGGGGCAGTCATCAACCTGAAATGATATAGCCAAAAAAAAAAATCATATCATGTGCTTCTTCGAATCGGCCGTGCTTAGGGAATTACATGTCAATTGACTGTTAGCGTGGACACCAATCTGTGAAGTAAAAATTTCGGTAGAAAAGTTAGCGAGACAAGCCGTCTGGCTACAGAAGAAGCCAAGACAGCCGTGACCTCTTTCAACTACATTCAAAGGGCATTCTTGTCGTCGACCGCAGGAAACCAAGCCATTTTTCCCCCGTAAAACTTGTCATCAGATCTGATCTACAGATCTGTAAATTTTTCAAAATAAAAAGCAAAAAAAAAAAAAAAAAAAAGAAAAAGAAGAAACAAAAACAAGATCAAGGTGTTGACAACAGCAGTTTAGTGCACAATCTCCATTCTCATCAAAGAAAGACGCTGTGGGCGTGTTGATGTGTCAGGGACCTCCGCACCATGGCGGCGTCACTGGAAAAGTTGCTGGAGGAGGCCACCCGTCCTGAAGCCGAGGTACAAAGTCTTGGAAGCAATGCGTGCGCGTGCGCATGTGCGCGTGCGTGTGTGTAAAGTGATGTGAAATAACAGGGCCTGTGTCAGTGCTTTGATCAGGCCCTGTCAGGGACTGGAGGAATACTGCCTTTCAGACACTGGTCTGTTATGGCCGTGCTCCAGGGCCTGTCTTTGGGCTCATCGTTGCGCACCTGGGTGTCCATCGTGGAATAGGCTGCAAACTGGGATGTCATTAAAGCTTTCTGCGACAAAATCCTTGAAGAGGATGATGGGTATGTGCCTTTTTTTTTTTTTTTTTTTGGAGCGTCATCACCTTTGCATGTCAGTCGGATAGCGAGCGAGCCGTCTCAGGTGCCTTGTGGCGCTGCAACTTTGCATATTTTTCTTAGGCCTCGTGATGCTTGCTTCATGCTCCTGGATAAGATTCGCAGCCCCCGTTTGAACGTGGCGCTGCGTGCTCTTGACGTATGCTAGCTCCCCTACCCTCGCTGCTGCATCCTTTGCTTGCATCTGCGTGGTGTGCACTTTGGCTTGCATGGCCTCACAATCTTCTTGCGGCATGATGACACTTTGCTGCAGGTTCTCGAGGCTTGTGTGCAGCAATGTGGCCCCCCGATGCATTCTATTGTTGGTCGCTTCAAATTTCTTAATGAATGCATCAAGATGGTGTCGCCCAAGGTTTGGCCAGCAACCATGCGCTTCAGCACTGCCGCCCACGTTTTATCTTTACTTTTGATCTTCTCCCCGGAGACAAAGCTCGGGTCTTTTCCCAGCCGCCAGAGTGACCTGGTCGTGATATGTGTTTTCTGACTGATGTCATACTCCAATTTTTCATTTTTGCTTGCGCCCTGCCTCTGCTGACAGTACCATGAGAATCGGCCAGAACCTGTGGTTCAACGTGTCTTGTCCCTGATCCAAACTTGGGCCCGTAACTTGCCAAATGAGCCCAAGGTGAAAGAAGTCTACAATATGTTGAAGCGGCAAGGTTTGTGGCTTACTACTGACCCTAGCTAGCACGAGTCCTCACTCTTAGCACGGAACGTGGCTCATCATACGACCAACATCCTGGTTTAGGCATGGCGTTTGCAGATAGTGAAAGCTCTCCGAATGAACATGTTGCAGTTGGCGAGGGTGTATGTCATCGAGTTTGCGTTTTCATCCCTACACTTCTTGCTGGGTTTGGGGCATTTCTATTCTTGGGGTTTCATCCATTGCACAAGAATGCAGTGGCATATGTGTACCTGCACTGGGCGCAGGTCTGGCCTTTGCACGCCTCACTCAATGCTTTGCTGTGCAATTTTTAGTACCTCGGCGTATCCCAGACAGCATCGGAGCGACCCTCTCCCCTCGAGCACGATGAGCGCCAATCTAAGGTTTGTCTGATGACAGGCGGTATTTGAAAGCACACATAATGTGTACCGCACCCCGACGTTCATGAAGTATAACCACCGTCCCGATGTTTTCTTTTAAACGTAGATGTTGCAAAGGCTTCTTCAAAGCAAAGATCCCAATGATCTGCGCAAGGCCAACAAGCTTATTCAAAAGATGGTTCGCAAGGTGAGTAGTTTCACCCCCTCCCCCTTTTTTTTTTTCTCAGCGAGCCCAAGAACGGTTGCTCGTGGTCAAAGCGACTCTTATCTTTGCCACTATATGCCTGCCGGTGTGGGGGTGACAGGATCAAGAGCGGACGGAGCGTGCGGTTACTTTGCGGGGCCAAATTGACGGTATTCAGGAAAATACAAAGGTGAGCATTGCGAGTGAGTTATAAAAAGCGGCTGACTTGCATCGAGGTGGCCGTGCTCTCAACAAGCCCTCTACCTTTCCAGCTCCTTGTCGAAATGTTGGCAAGCTTCGACTTGACCACAGGCCGCCCTCAAGATGATGAAATTATCAAGGTTGGCAACCTTCCATATGGGCTCTGACAGACCGGTCTTATTGCATTCTCTCGTGTGTCACAAAAGTCACAAAATGCCCTGATATCGATTTTGGTTTTTAGCAATTGCACGCTGGGTGCCTTGAGGCCCGCCCCAAGCTGGTTCGTATGGCGAGTGAGGTGACCACGGACGAGGAACTACTAGGTGTGTCATCAAGTTCTTTGAAGTGTGCTCTGCTTTAGGTGTGGATGGCGGCGCGCAATCTTACTCTGCGCTATCGCTTGTGATACATTAGGCGAGGTCTTGGCGGCTGGTGATGATATTACTCGTGCTCTGGATCAATACAGTGCGCTTTGCGCGGGTGCACGGCCAAATGGTGGCGCTGCCGCCACAGCTGTCGCTGGTGGCGCGGAAGGAACACAATCCGCATCTGTTGATGCCTTGGGTGATAGTTTGTTGGACCTTGACTTCTCGCCCACGCCAGCGTCTGCTCCAACCAATGCCTCCAATGGCCTTTTCGATGCCTTTGGCAGTTCTGCTGTGGCTTCACCGCCCGGTAGTACAGCAGCACCGGCGGATCCCTTTGACCTCCTTTCCGGATTTGGCGGCAGCTCGGCGGCGCCCGCGCCTACTCCCGCCGCGCCAGCGGTTGCTTCCGAACCTCAAGACCCCTTTGCTGCCTTTGGTAGGACCTGTCTTGCGATATCTGCGATATCTACTCCCCGCCTTGCCTGCTTGTTGTAGTGGCACGTCTTGCACCTGAAGTTATGACACATCTGATTTTCTTCTCTTTTTTGACCTGGTTCCAGGGCAACTCGGTGTGGATTCAAAACCATCCAACGCGGCGGCAGTGGCTCCTGCACCCGTTGCCGCGCCTGCTTCCGTCACCAATCCTCTGGATGATTTGCTTGGTAAGGTCATTCGGTTGCACCTATAAATCAAGCAAACAATCGTACATGCGTATTGCTATTGTTGTTTCAAATCTCATGCTGCGTATCATTTATGTTTCCGTCGACAGGATCAAGCTTCGGAGCAAATACGCCAGCAGCAGCAGCGCCGCCTGCACCCTTGGACATGTCTCAAATCTCTATCGATATGTCGTCCATCCGGTCCAATCCATCGCTCTCTCCTGTCACGCTTTACGATAAGAACTCGGTCAAGGTTTGTCCTCGTTGCTTGTAGCAGTCTTTTTTTCCAGCCGTTCTCCATAGCTATGCTTGCCACTGCTTGCGCAATGCACCTCACCCTGTTATGTGCCACCGCAGGTCATGCTACACTTTGCCGCTGACAGTCCGCATCCGGACGCACTTGTTTGTGTTGTCTCTGTCCTCAACTTCAACGGCGCGCCGATTGAAAACATCTTGTTTCAAGCTGCTGTGCCACGTGCACTGCAGGTCAAGCTCATGCCGGCGTCTGCATCCTCGGTTGAGGGCCACAACCCCATGGCCGGCGCAAAGCCAGTGACGCAAGTGATGGTGATTGGCAACCCCGACAAGGTACATTCAAACCAGGCGCCGACCATAAAAGTCTGGTTGCATACACTTTGGATAGGGGTTGGGGGAAAGAAACATCTTGACATCATTCTCATGTTTGAACTGGCTTTGCAGAAACCCATCAAACTACGTTTCAAGTTCTCTTTCACCCTCAATGGCCAAACGGTGGATGACATGGGCGACTGTGCCGAATTTCCCCCCATGTAAACATCCGGCTCTTGTCACAACTGACCTTCCTCGGCCTCCAATCATAAGCTTTTGAAATATGGCCAAGCCTGGGTTCATTTCAGACAACAATCATGTTGGATTCATGTGCTCAACCAGAATTCAATTTTGGAGGCGCAGCCTCACAAAATATATGCAGAGGCAAGGACGAGCATAGGCAAGGAAGGGTCGGAAGACGGTCAAAGAACATCACGCACGTGCACACCACCGGAAAACATGCAAAAGCTACAGAAACCCGCCACAACAAACAATTAAAGCTGCTCAGGTCATTGTGGCTCAAGGCGCTTGAGAACGCTGCACGGCCAGCGCATGCAAGGCAGCGAGCATTTCTGGGGAGGCATTTGCAAGGTCCATAGCAGACCCTGGGGCAAACGGCATGGCATGACCTCCTTGGCCACCGACAGGTGGATTATTCCCTTGCTGGACGGGTCGAGGGTTTGCTAAAGCAGCCAGTGTCATGTAGTTTTGAAGGGCCAGACGAGCCTGTTGAGCCTGTTGAGCCTGTTGAGCTTGTTGAGCCTGTTGGGCTTGTTGAGCCTGTTGGGCTTGTTGAGCCTGTTGGGCTTGTTGAGCCTGCTGAGCCTGTTGGGCTTGTTGGGCTTGGTGAGCCTGCTGGGCCGAGTATATGGGGTTGTAAGGCAACTGAGACTGGAGACTGGGTGTAGCTGAATAAGCGCCCCCACCCCCGGATCCAGAGGCTCCAATCAAGTGTGCTGGCAATCCCATATTTGAGGTGCCCATCATCGGCGACTGCATGTGTATGTGTGAGGTCGAAGGGGTGTGCATTGAGTGCATTGAATGCATTGGTGGCACGCCCATTCCCGAAGCCATGGCAGACATGGGCTGCAATGAAGGCCCAGAGGGCATCGAGTGCATGGGTGTCGCTGCATATGTGCTGGACTGGACATGCTGGCCGTAAGGCATCTGTACGCCATAAGCTTGAGCCGCGTAGGATGATGCAGGCGCAAAAGCGGCATTGGGAGGATAGGAACTATTGTGTTGTGACGGAGGCATGTCCGGGCCAACTCGGGCGGGAATGGCGGTAGGGGTATATGCACTTTGGGAGGCCAGCGAACCAAAGCCCGAGGGTGCGCGAGGCGCTTGTTGTGGAGACGCAACCGCTGTGCCTTGAAATTGGGCCATGCTCGCCGCGCCACGGGCCATGGAGGTAGTTGCGGCGGTCGCATCCGAAGCGCTTGGCGGAACATACACCAAAGGGCTTTGTAACGTGTCGACAGAACGGTAGGATTGCTGTACAATCTGCACTTGTTCTGGAGTCAGGAAACGACTGTTCAGCAACAGGATTTGTGTGCGGTCAGCCAAAATGCCCACCGACAGGGCATGTCGAAAGGCTTGTACGACAAAGCTGGGCAGCATGATGTCACGTCTCAGGTTCAAACGCACACGCGTCCAGTCGCTCGACTATTTATCGCGCATCCGCGGGTGGACGCCGGTGAGCTGAATTGCTGGACTGGGCTTGCATGCAACCCATCAAAAAGGTAATCGCATGCCACGTACCCCGATCATGTCAAAGCTGGCCGTGTTGCCAGAAGCCACTCGCTGTGATTGAATGTGGTTTCCGCCATTCGACTGCGGTCCCCCACCGACCCGAGCTGACGCTTTGTGACCTGCAATCGGGGATATTCGAATCTTGTGAGCTGATTCAGGCTTGAGCAACGGCGGTGCAAATCACCACTACAAGGCTTCAAATAGATGAATTAGCAAAGGCAATGCCTCGGCGTCTGAATTTTGCAACATACCACGTTTCGCACGAAGGCGCGATGTTGGTGCCAATTCATCCTCAAAGTCACTCTCCTCTTCTTCTGCTGACATACCAGAAGCGCTGCTTGAATCCGATTTCTGTGCCGCCTGTGGCCTGTCAGCTGCTGGAGAACAAAGTGCCCCCCCCCCAAAAAAAAAACATATCGGCAAAGAGCATCAGGAAGTATATTGGCGTTAAAAGCCCAGAGTCTGCAAGAAAAGGTAAGTCGAGCCAATAAAAAAGGTATCTGAAGGACGAAATGTGCGCGCACACCTTGCAGGGGTCCTTTCTTCGAGCGAGCTCCGTATCCCCAAGTGCTGCGATGCTCGTGGATGTACTCGCGCACAACGTCATAGGCATCCAACAAGTCTGTGTCCTCTGGGGCCAGACCATTGATTTCACGTTCCAACTGATGATATCGGTCATGCGCGACATTGTGCACGCATTTGGGAGTGTTATGAGAGCAGGGCCTTGTTGGAAAGGAAGTGGGACCAGGGTTCGGGTTGGCTATTGCCTCTTACCGAAGGCCGATCTGGAATGGTAGTGGCTGCGTCGTGTTTGATCCAAGCTCGCTCCTCAGTCCCGAAAAACGATACCTCACTGGCCTGGACCTCTGTGTCCTCAGCCAGTAGCTACACAAGGTCCGGTCAAGAGTCAGAAAAAACTCTCTTAACATGTAAACCATTCAGAAACCCCCCCCCCCCACAAAAAAGAAAAAAAAAAAAAGACCAACCCCCACCCTCTTCCAAAAGAAAATGAACAAAATTGAACAAACCTTGGCTGGCCACTTGAGACGATCCCCATATGGCACCCAGACCAAAGGTTTTGGTTCCTGTAACACAGCGTAATTGGCAACATGAGCGCGTGTGCCCTCCCTCTGTACAAGGATCGAATCAAGCCGAACAGGTAAAACAGAGAAAGAAGTAAAGACACCCGACTAGAAGAGCAAAGTTCGTACGCTGTGTATTTTGAGCGAGGCTCGCTGGCCTCGGCCACGACGACGGCTACTGGCGGGGGGAGAGACCTTGATAGCATCTGGCACGGACGAGCCAGTGGCTGTGTTGGCGGTGGTGGTCGACTTGCGCTTGCGTGGTACTTTAGGTTTAGGGGTGGGCACAAGTTGTTCCAGCTTCTTGCGCCAACTGACACATTTGTCAAAAACGTGAAGGTACAAAAGCATTTCCGAAGGCACTGCGACTTGGAGAACGCTATCCAGCCATTCTTCGTTGTGGCTTTGCCAGGAACGACGCATGACATCCGGAATGGTGTAGCGATATAGCCGACCAATTGCCTCCTTCGTGGAATCCAGGCCAGTGCTGCTTCGAACGTCCTTATCCCAAGCCTCAAACGCCAAGCCTTTGTCATCAGATTCTGATCCCTATTGATCCACCACAAGGCAATGGGTGAGAGCGGGCTATCACAATGGGCATGTTCCTGCAGCTCAATCGGCGACGCTTCAATAGACTCACCTGTGGTTGGAGAATGAGGAAATCTTTCTCTTTCAACTTTTGACCAAGCGAAAGCAGTTCCTTGTTGACTTGAGCCACGAATGACTGTTGTAGTGTCGGGCTGCAATTGGGCCCTGAGCCGTGCGGCAAGAGAGGCATGCCATGCTCCCTTTCGTGTAATTCAGCAACCCGTTGTCGCAACTCAGGTCGCACGTCTGTTGCTGGCACGTCTGAGACATTCTTGTTCCAGCCAACGATGGGCACGGGATGTTCGTCTCCAACGATGCTCGTAGCTAGTTGAAGCTGTCGGTCTTGCAACACACGGCGAAGGCGGGCCTCGTCTGCACACTACGGACGATGCATTGACCCAACAAACAAAATGACGTGAACCCCACACGCCTGCGGACGACCACCATTCAAACAAGGGAATGCCTTTTATGAAGCTGGAAGCACGGCCACACGTACGCGAGGGTCAAGCGAGTCGATGAGCTGTTGCAGCTTGCTTTCTGACTCGATATATGACCATTTGTAGCGTAAGACATTCCCTGGGATGGGGCTCGCCTCCTAGGTTGAAAGTACAAGCAACAGAAACAATCATCAATCACAAATGGGTATCACGCTTCAGGTACAAAAAAAACAAAAAAAAACAAAAAAAACCCCCCTCCCCCCACGAACAAAAAGCAAAAAGCAAAAAGCAAAAAAAAAAGAAAAAAAAAAAAAGAAAAAACAGGTTCGTATCAGACGCACCAAAACCTCTGGCTGGAAATCGGCATCATAAACGATTGGAGCAGGAGCATCCCGGTTTTGTTGCCAGGCTTGAACATCCTGGAGACCAGGCGGAAGCGCTGGTTCTTCATCGTGCTCTGAATCCTGATTGCGGTTGTGTGTACGATTTCGGCCCCGACCTCGGCCCCGCCCACGCGAGCGTCCACGACCACCGGCACTACCTGCACCCTGACTGGCCTCCTCGTCCTTGTCACGCAAAAACTGCAGACCATCAAGATGTAGCTGACGTCGCGACACGAGCCGGCTGTCGTTGCTGGACAAGGAATCATACAGGTCATAGTCTTCTTCATCTTCGTCCTCCAGCTTCCCATAGTCAGTGATTTCATCGACGTATTCCTCGTCCTCGTCCTCACCCTCCGAAGTGGATTCTGAGTGATCATTGTCCGAGTTGTCTGGGTCCCAGTCCGGCGAGTGTGCTGAACGTGCACCGCGGCCCCGACCTCTACCCCGGCCTCGTGCTCGGCCTCGGCCTCGACCTCGGCCAGCGCCTTTGGCTGCGCTTAGAGATTGGCCTCGACCCCGGCCTCGACCCCGGCCTCGAGTAGATCCACGCTTGTGTGAACGTCCTCGAGCTGGGCTCTGATGTGAAAGAGCTTCAAGATCACCGCGCCCTCGACTTTGGGCATTTGCGTGCCGGTGACCTGGGGCTGCCACGGCAGCTTGTGTACCCATACCAGCGCTCGCCTCAAAGATCTTCCAAAGAGCCATGCCACGAATCCCGGGCAGAAAGGGCTGGCGCTCTTTCAGTTGATGCAAGGTAGGGCGCAGAATGTCGGGGTTGCCGTCGTATCGCTCGACCACGACGCCAGGCAAGCTTTCACACAAGCGATAAAGGTTTCCGAGGCGATCTCGGCCCAAGACATCGCCGCGCGTGCCGATAGCAGAGGCCGCAAAGTCACGATATAGGGCATTGAGGTGCAGCGCATACGCCTCCTGCAGGCGACGCTTCACCAAATCTGTCAAGGCTACCGATGGCTGGGCGCAAGCATCAGCCAAGACTTTTTCAGGGTCATCGGGTGCGCAAATCTCTGACTGCTTGATTGCTGCTTGCTCTGCGTCAAGCTGAGCAAAATCAGACTGAATGCGTTCTTCAAGAGCCGCCATTTTCACAGTAGTCATAGCTTGCAAAGTTTGTGCGTCCTGGGCCAGCTATGGTGCAACCTATGATGAGAAATGACCAATTCCAATAATCCGTCTGAATGGGGGTTGGGGGGTTCTTGGGCTATTGTTGAATAACATACCAATGAGTCTGCGGCATTAAAGTGCAAAGCATTGCTCCACATCAAGCTGACATCGGCGGCACAACTCTCAAACGAAGTGTACTCGTCTGAACAGATCCGCTTGTAGATGGTCACCATGTCCATGGGCTACAGAAGAAGCGAGTCAATATTCCAATTCACGCGACAAAGCCACAAAAAATGAAAAAATAAAAAAAATAAAAAACAAAAAACAAAAAGTCGAACAAAAACAAATAAAAAGATGGTTTGGCATCAAAGTCCAAACGCACAGGCTTTCAGCTCACATCAAGATAGCAAAGGCTACCATTAGAACAGGCGGCTTTGAAAATCGTGGGCTTACCTTTTTGATGGTGTTGTAGTAAGCAGGCAATTCCCGGCGTGTGGGCAGCTCCAGGAAAGGGATGTGAAGAATGCGATCCTCTTCGTTTTCATGCAGTTGAATGGACGCGTACAATTCTAAGCAAGTACTGCGAACGAGGGCAGCACGAGCAAGTTGGTAGAACGCCCTTCCACTGCAGGAAGTGACATTGCTGTCAATCATTGTTCAGGGTGATGGTGAGCTTCGAAAGGAACCCAACAACGAGGATGCCTCGATGGTCACGAGCCAACCAAACATACTTTGTTTCGCGGGTTCGGCGTGTTGAGACCTCTTCTATTTGCTGCTGGCAGGCTTCGGCCTCATCAAGGTAGGCCGCGATACTTTCACGGATTTCAGTCGTGTCTAGAGCCTATGAATTACGGGCGGGTGAGGATGGTCTCCGGCTTGCAGGTAGAAGCATAAATAGCTGAAGTGAAACTGGGAAAAACGACAGACCTGCTCTTGTAAAAACACTAACAAGCGTAGCTTGGAGAGCGAATCAAGGGCAACAAGTTCAGTGGTGCTCAGCGAGTTGAAGAGTCGCGGGAACTCGATGACAAAATCGGGATGACTGAGCACATAATGGCATAGGATGCCCTGTGCAGCAAGAAACAACAATCATCGAGTGCATTGTATTCAAGTCAGGACGGAGGGGTTTCTCAGCTCTGGAAGAAGAAGGAAAAGCTGGCAACAATGTACATAGGGTATGAAAAGGGTGCTTTGGGTACCTGGAGAGAAGATTCGTCCAGCGTCAGCTCGTGCAACCACATGGTGCTCTCTACCTGAGGGTAGAGATCAAGCACACCGGCTGTGGTGAGCTAGTGATAAAAAAAGCGAAAAAAACAAAGACGTTGGTTGCCTAGCCGTTTTTGCGGCACTCGAGTTTCCTTCAGCCCCTCCTTCGCCTTTGTTCGCCTCTTTTGCTCGCACAAAAAAATCGACAAACAGACTTTATTGGCCTTGTCATTGCGCAAGATGAGTTTGAGGATGGGCACAAAGATGGCCACCAAGATGCGCCACGCTTTAGTATCCGAGTCAAAGAGGAACGTGGCAAGGTCATCGAGGTGTACGCGGTTCTCGAGACCAAGCTCTTCTTGCATAGAGTTGAGAAAGTCGAGCAACGGAAGCGTCTAGGGATGGTCAAGTTGTTGCAGTACGTGGCGTGAAGAGTGAGAAGTGCCGACTCTCACAGGGCGATTAAGTTCATGTGTCGATCGTACCTCGCCAAAAATAGCATCAGCTTGTGCCTGCGATACGGAGGCGGGGAGCGGGCGGCGGGGCCAAAGAATTGGGAGTCCTTGCACAAGCGGTCGAGGCGTCGATGCATCTGCGACCCATTCCTCGGGCTAAGTTGCGCACGGCATGCACATGTGAGAATCATTGATAACGTCATCTGTTCAAGCCGCAGAGTAAGTTCAGTCGGTGGCCAGCTTGACGCGTGTGTTTGCTGGCTGGGTACTTGAATCTGAAGGCGTTGCACCAACCTCTTGCTTCAGCTCATGTTGAGCACCACATTCACCCGTTGGACTGGGAGGTGCAGCTTCTTCCGCTTGACGTGGAGTATCAACGGTCGGTGCTTCCTGCACGGACGTGTGCGTGTTTGTTTGGTCTTGCTCATTTTCAGCGGTGCTTTGGAAAGCAGGCTGCGAGGCGTTTGCGGCCTGAGGGGTGGTCACTTCGGGTGAATTGGCGGGTTTGCTTCTCTTGGCTGCAGGTTCACCCACAACTACTGAAGGTTCCACAACCGGTTGCGATCCGGGTGTGTCAGCATCTGCCTCCTCATGAGGCTTGGGGCTATGAGGGGCAGACATGGCCTGCTGTCGAGAGGCAGGCATCAGAAGATGGACAGCCGAGCAAACAGAAACAGACGGCCAGAGATCGGCTCAATGCCGGCCCAATCCGCGGCTCCCAAAGTCATGCAGATACCAACAGGGGTGGGACTCGGCCCAACAATCTCGTTGATACTGTTGGGGTTAGATTCGACACCCCACATCCATGCCGTTGTCCAGGACGAAGAAGCTCCACTGGGCGACCACAGGGTTGAGCAAAATGGCGCCGCGTGTCAGACACCGATGGGGCATGTGAGGACAACAGCGAGCCAACCCAGCCAGTCTGATGGGGATCGCCGACCTTCCCACAGAAAAGAAAAATATGAGAGAGAGGTGAGAGAGATGGAAAAGTGCGAGAGAGAGATTGAGAGAGACGAGAGAGAGAGACAGAAAGACAGAGAGATAGAGGAGACAGAGGAGAGACAGAGATAGAGAGAGACAGAGAGAGGAGGCAGACAGAGACAGAGAGAAATGAGAGACAGAGAACAGAGATAGAGACAGATAGGAAGGAGAGACAGAGAGACAGAGGGAGAAAGGAGAGACAAAAGAATGAGAGAAGCATGAGCATAAAGTGGTATAGTGTGTCTGTACGCACACTTTGAGAGGGATGAAGCCGTAACGGTCGTTTCAATGTCTCACAACGGTCAGCAGCTCAAAGCTCGATCCATGGTTGGTTCTGGGCAGCACACCCTGGCGGAGACTTTGGTTGTGATGAAAAGAGCAAGAATTTGCATGCTTCGTGAGGTGACAACTAGCCGAGCTTCGATACCGAAAGCGCCTGTTCCTTGCATCGCACGCCATACACAACCTGTTTTGAGTGGAGGAACGACGAGCGCCAGTTTACCCATGGAGATCCCAAAGTTCCGCCCGTAGGTCACGTGTCCCAAAAAAGACTCTCGGGGGTCGCCTGGGCTCTCCGTTGAGCCCCCCTCCTGGTTTTCCCCCACACCATAAGCAAGGAAGAAAAGCAAAGTGTTTCAATTGAATAGAATGAATGCTCAAATCACGAGTTCTGCGGTTGAAATCGTGAGCGTAATCTAGCTAAAAGCCCCACCCGGGCCGGTGCTGCTTGTACTGGGCGCAGCAGATGGGATGCTGGCTGCAAAAAGCTTGCAAAGGCTATTGACAATATGGTACAGGTTATCATCAACACGTTGTAGGGCATGGACATGTCTGGCACGGCGACGGGAACGCTGACCACCGCCGCGAGCTCCTGGCGACTCAGGTCAAGCGAGTTATTGGTGAAAATGTGCAGCACAGCGCCAGCTGGAATTGTGATCCCCTTGAACGGGTCGCGCGGGTAGTCGTCGTTGCGCAAAAATGTTTGCTGCAGCCCCACACTTTATTGTTTTGGTACCATGAAGAGCGTCAACCACCGTGAGCACTGCCCAGAAAAAGCAAACCCACAAGAGGACCCACGCCTGATCTTGCAAACCCACCTCATTGTCAGCGTCGTGCGAGCTGGAATCTCAATCACGCCCGCCCACAACGCCGGTGCCACATGCGGCTGCACACACAACGCGGGGAAATGAGCTGCCACCAAACTTTGCGTTTCAATCTCCTTGATCATCTTTGGAAACAACCCTTTCTGCAGCAAAAAAAACTCAGAACAAAAACACACAAATGGAAAGAGGGGGGGGGGGCGGGGGGGATGTGACGGACCACGGCTGCCTCGAATGTCTCTCGTTCAGTTGTCCAATGCGTGTCATTATCAAGCACAAGGCGTCGTGTGTGCGCATAGACATTCAACTGCCAAGGTATGGCTTCCTGAACAAGCAATCGCACCGACTCGTCGGCTCGATTGATGATCTGTGACGTGCACACCGTTGCAAGGCATCCACGTGAGCTAGACCGCTGGTAAATCAGCCTTCACTCTTGCAATAGACGAACCGTGGTAATAAGATGTGCTCGTTCTTGACCTTGCGTGATGGCCTGTCGATATACATCAAGCACCGGCGATGGCAAACGTGCACCGTCCACCTGTTGCCAAGAAAGATTGGTCGCCAGAGGCGTGGCCTCGGACACGCGGCAAGGGAGCGAATGACACGCGCCATGTGGGGCAGAGAGCATGACGGTGGAGTCCGTGGCTACCAGATCCAGCGCAAAAGATTTGGTCCATCTGAAGATTACATGCACAGGTGAGCAAGTTGTGCTGCAGAGTCGCAGAGCGAGTGCGCAGAGTCGCAGAGCAAGCGCTGCCGTAGACTTTGTGACACAGACCTGGACTTTGGGACCATGCCGAGCGCGGTTGCCCAAGACTGCACCTACGAGTTTTGTTCAAGCAAAAGAATTACCACACATGTGCTTTGCTGGCTCAATACGCGGCGGCGGTCAAGCATATGCAGAGAGGAAATCAGCATCGTACGGGTTTGGCGGCACCATTTGGGGCCTTGAGTTTGGTGGCAGTTAGTGTGATCTGGTAGCACTGGCACTCGTCATCATATTGGACAGCCAATTTGGTGCCGTGATAGTCTGAGTTGTGGCGAAGATCCGAGGCTAGCCACTCAGTCAGACTGCCGTTGTCATATGGGAACAGCGCCAGAAGTTGTACCAAGTTCTCGGTGCAAGCCAAGTCGTCAGGCCGCAGGACTGTGCGATAAGTCAAACGGCGTGCGCTTGGCACGCCCTCGGCATGCAAGAGCTCAAGACCAGTCCGCTGAAAGAGGTGGGGCAGGTTCAAAGAGGAAGGGTGACTCAAGCTACTGCAGCTCAGTGCACCCACGTAGGCGCGAAGTGCCCGCCAGCGCTCCTCAACCTCGATACCAGGCTCCAAGGCTGCTGAGAGCTATGGCAATGTTTTTAGACCAACGCGACCGCGAAAGTGAGAGCAAGGTGCCACACATAGATACACCACAAATGAGAGGACCATTCACCTGAGTGCCCGAAACCATGGACAGGTGGCGCACAGCTGGATTCAAGAGGCGTCCTTGAGTCGCGGTCAGAGTCAAGGCTCGCACTTGATAGCCACGCAAGTGGTCATGCAAGCTTCGTGCTGGTTCATGATTTATCGAGGTGTTGAGCGAAATGGTGGCCTGGTACAACAAGCGTCCTTGCGCCAAGGGATGCAGCTCAATATGCTCTGCCAATGCTCCATCCAACAAGACGCACCCAACAACCAACAACAAGGCCAGGCCACCCACACTGCAAACTGCACTCGGCCGGGCTGCCCACGGCCGCGCCCTGCCCAGTGTCATTTCTAACATTGACAATGAACAAGAGAAATGAAAGTTTTTTTTTTCTTTGTTTTTGACTCACATGTCAATTTTTTATGGTGTTGGTAGTCGCTAGAATATTGTATTCCTTGAGTCACGCGAGCTGTCAAGGGTGTGACACCACATTGAATGGCCCACGCTTTGTTACATTCGATTGGAAGGACGATGCTGGAGGGACAAAAGGGGGGAGGCCCAGCACAGCTGGGTAGGTAAAGGAGGTGGGGGACACATCGCACAATCACTACTGCGCCGCCAGGAGACCAATTTGGCGCTTCATCTCATCAAGTAAATGCTCGCGTGTCTGGCCGCGCCCGCTCTGTGGTCGAGTCGTGCAAGGTCCAAACCAATCAAGCAATCAAGCAAAGTCGATGAGCCTTCACTGATTTATCAAGGTGTCCAAAGCGCACGGGCAGGAATTGACTTAGTATGAAGAACAAACCGTGATTTTGAGTTTGGCAGCGGCAAGGGCATCTTGATATCGCACAGAGAGCTCACTCATGACACCAGTGTCTGGTGATACACTCTCGGGTTGACGTTGATCAATTTGCCGACGAACGTGCGCAAATGGCTTCTCCTGTCAAGGTAAACGAGTTTCATCCAGCCGTGGTCCTCAAGTCAGATCATGGCATGGGGACAAGCAGGTGGCGAGAAGCCATTTGACACGCTTGGGTAGCAGACACCGACCTGCTGAGGCAAGACTAGAGTGTATGCCTCACCATGGGCGCCAGCGCGACCGACACGACCCACGCTATTGGCACACGCGTAACGGATGCCATCAGTCAAGGAGCCCTCAAGGTAGCGGAGGGAAGTGGCAGACGGGTAACCACCTACCGATGGATGTATGTTTTCGGAAAAGCCGGGGCATCATAACTGATGACGGTTTCCACATTTTTGATATCAATACCGCGTGCCATGTTGTCTGAGCACACCAGCACGCTCAGCTCGCCAGCCGCAAACTGATGACAGTGTACAATTGGTTGTGCGTCAGAATGAAACGTGGATGGCGTTGGCTCATATAGTCTTGGTCGGTAGCATTGCGATATACTAGACCTGCTTCAGCGCCCGGGTGTTCTCTTGTTGAGATTGACTGGATGAGACCTCTGCGACGGACAACTCATCAAAGTACTGCAGCAAAGCCGTCACGCTGAGGAAGAAAAGCATGCAAAAGAAGAAAAAGGAAGCAGACGGTGTATCCAGATGATCATGAGCAGATATCTTGCAGAACAAGCTGAGCCTGGTGACGAAGCATGCCAAAGCTGAGCCTGGTGACGAAGCATGCCAACGCACCGCTTGGCCGTGTTCAGAGCTGACACGAAGATCAAAACGCGTTGCATTTGAAAGCCAATCAAGAGAGATAGCAGCACCAAGGGTCGCTCTGTGGCAGTGCAAGACACCGTGTACTCGTCGATCGAGCGTGGAATGGTGCTCTTGCCATTTGCATCTGCAAGCACAGGAACAGGTGAATGGGTGAGGTGACGGAACCACAATACATACACGAGCAAATGACGTGAAAAAGCAAGCGAAGCCAGCGCACCATCCTGATGGGCAGAGCTAGCAATGACCATCGTCGGAAAAGCCAGCCGCAAAGGTTCAAGTTTCTCGGGATCCCGAGTGAGGGTGGCAGAGAAGAGAAGCTGTTGCAAACGCGTTCCCTCGGCGTGAAACCTGTGTGGTTGCCAGTACCGGGTATGGTGAGAGTGTGTCAACTCGCGAGTGCCGTTGGACATGCGTGGGAAAGAAGGACCCGCAAAGAAAAATCATTGGTGATGGGGAGCACAAGTGCCTGAAGCAAGGTGGGGAGAGAAAAATATGGGCATGAAGTGTTTCAAACGGACCGAGTCAATGTCATGTTCATTGGATCACTACTTTCACGGCCTCGGTAAAGTGCCTTGCGCAGCGCTTCCAGCCACGATTGATAAGATTGCGTCAAAAGACTAAAAATAAAATGGAATGGACAAGACACGAAGGCAAAGAGCCGTGAGTTGTGTCATGGACCGTATTTCTGTCATTGCGGCGTGGATGGGTTACCAAGGCCCGACGAGGACCAACCGATCGGCTTCATCCACCACCAAAAAGCGCACGTGGCGCAAGTCAAAATGGGCTAATAAGCGAAGGTGCGGTGATTGGCAATGGCAAGTTGAGAACGATGACGGTTGACAGCGTACATGGGTTGGAAACAAGCGCCCAAAGCCCCCATCTCTTTACCGGTTTGGTGGAGGTGGTCGACTAAGCGACCTGGTGTAGCGACCACAATGTCAATGCTCTGCTCTTGCAGCAGTTTCTACGGGAGTCAACAGCACAGAGCACAGAGCAAAGGAGCGACAGGGCAAAACGCTGAGAAGAGCTGCGTTTTGGGGGAGTACCGCTTCGCACAGGCCCACGAAGACTTACCTGTTCTTGTGAAAGCGAAGTTTGACCGGTGAGTGCAGCCACACGCAGCGGCTCGCGCCCAGCACACAGCTGGGAGGCACCAAGAAGATCCCGAGCCACCCGCACCACTTGCAGAGCAAGCTGGCGGGTGGGGAGAACGATAAGGGCGCGAATGCGCGGGGTTACGCGTTCCGCCAGCAGATGGAGAATGGGCAAGAGATAACACAGCGTTTTGCCGCTACCCGTGGGTGCACACACGCAAAAGTCACCCGGGTGGCCGGCAGCGTTCCAAGAAGCTATGAGGCGCGGTACCATTGCGCGCTGCAAGGGAAACAGCGTTTTCATATCACGACGTTGCATGGCACGCTGCAACTCGGGGTGCAATGCTGAGGTATCAACCGGTTGCAGCTCTTGGCCCTCAGCAAAGCCAGCTCGAAGCTGCTGTGGATGCGCCAGCCAAGCTGGCAGTGTCTGACGCACGCGCGTGCTGCGTACACGCTTGTCTGCTGGGGCTTCGAGGGGAACGGCAAGCACGGGGCCATCATCGTCGTGAAGATTCGCCAACTCGTTGTCCTGTTCCTCGGTATTGCTGGCGACCTGACTCTGGGCAGCCTGTCGCTTGGCCTCGAGGCGTTGCCGAAAGCGATCCTCTGCACTCAAACCCGAGATACTCGGTTCGTTTTCAGCCCCTCCCGTCTCCTCATCACTACTTTCCTCCTGCATCGGCGACCAGGCATCCTCGTTCTCTTGCTCGTCCGTCACGTCCTCCTTCTGCTCATTGCCCTCCGCGGCCTCATTGTCAGCCTCCTCCTCCACGAGGTTCGCCCCCACCACCGCTGCCGGGCTACCATTGGCAGTGCCATCAGCATCCCCCACCTCTTCCTGATCGCCCAAATACCGCCGCACGTTAAACATGGTTCAAGGTCGACCACAATCTCCTCGTCCCGCTCCTCTCTGCCCCTGCTCTCGCCTGGAAAAAAAGGTTGTCCCACACACACACACACACACACACACACACACATGGCCCAGGCATGGAGTGGTGGTTCTTCATTAAATTTCTAAGACACACCTTTAAAAGTTGTCGTCCAGCCTTGTATTCAAGTCTCCTTGGGTACTCAAGGAGACCGGAAAGTGACCGTTACATCCAGTTCGCGTTGTTGTGTTTGGCGCTGCCACGGGTGGATTTGCGCGCTCAATTTCGCGCGCTCGTGTGCATTCGCGTGCATCGGTGTTGATTGAGCATTTGCTGCGCTGTTGCTTCAACCTGCTTGACGCTTGCAAAGCCTTGGCACCAAGATATCCGGAAACGAACTTTTAATCAGTTCAAGGTACCTTGTGTCAATTCTAGAACGGACGACAAGAACAGCCACCGGCCACTTTGTGCCGTCTGCCTCGGGTCTGAGGTGGTTGTATTGGGAGCTCGGATCGCAATGCCCAGTGCCCCGGCTGCCACGCCATCTCCCGGTGGTCGTGGCCGAGCTCGTTTCGATTTTTCCGCCAAACCCGCTGCAATGGAACGGTAAGATGATATCGAACGAGCACGCGCAGTTGAGGCTCAGGTACCTGGCGTCTTACGCTCACTATTTTTTTTTTTTTTTTTTGGCTCGTCCGTAACATTTGGCAACAGCTCCAACAGCAAACGTCCCGCCGCCCACAGTCAAGGTATGTCAAGCTTTACAGCATGAGCGCCTCTTTCTTTTTTCTTTCCTTTTTTTTTTTGGGGGGGGGGGGGGGGGGTTGAAAAAGGGGTTTCCT